TGCCAAGGTTGCTCTACCTCTTCTTATCATTACCAGTCAGAATCTCAGTTTACAGCATGGGACAAACAGATATCCCGGTTTATCTGGCCAACGGTAAAATTTAAGACACTCCAAATTGACAAAGAAAACGGAGGACTAGCACTGCCAAATCTCAGAGAATACTACTACGCGGCCCAATTGAGGTACATTGTTTATTGGTGCTCCCCGGAGTATCAAGCTGGATGGAAACACATTGAGCTAAATCTGGGTCAATCTCAACCTCAGGCCAGGCTAGGTGGAAAAGAATATACTGACCAAAAGGGAGAAAATTCCATCTTAGAAGATTCACTGAAAATTTGGAATGAGATAGTCAAAAAATACAAACTGGAAGGAGACAGTAAACTTCTGATTTGGCCGTCTCAGACCCCCAGGTTTAGACCTGGACTGATAGATAATACTTTTGTACGCTGGAGAGAAAAAGGGATAACAGCGGTATGTACACTCATAGAGGGAAACAATTTTAAAACTTTTGAAAAACTCAAAAGAGAATTTTATTTAGAAAATGGGGACATGTTCAGATATTTACAGCTAAGACATTTCTATGATACAGAAATTAAAAAAGGGGTTTCATCTGAAGGTAATGAAGTGATTGAAGTGTTGACAGGTGCGTACAAACAAACCCCCTCAAAGTTGGTCTCCAAACTGTACAGGAGTTTACAAAAACGAAACGGAAGAAACACACTATATGTAAAACTGAAATGGAACGTTGAACTGTCGAATAGTGATTGGCATTCCATGTGTAGAACGCAACAAACATCCACCAGCTCTAGAAGATTGAGGGAATTCGGATGGAAGAACTTAATCCGCTTTTTTATAACACCCCACATAAAATATAAACAGTTGGGCAAAGAGCAGCCATGCTGGAGACAGTGTGGGCGGATGAATGCTAACCACTCACACATTTTCTGGACATGTATAAAAATACAAGCATTCTGCATGCTTTGATAAAGGACTCCTCGTGCCTTTTGAAGAACTGAAGACAAAGTATGATTTGCCCAGTAGAACTTTCTTTTGTTACCTCCAGTTAAGATCATTTTTGAGAACCAACCTGGGCCCTGGAATGACTCTACCTGTGTTAACTAACGTGGAAAAATTGCTTCACCAGGGAAATGTGTACAAATTTATTTCTAAAATGTACTCCATGTTGCTGAATGAGGGCCCAAAACCAGGACTACACAGATCCAGGATGAGATGGGAATCAGACTTGAATATAACAATTGATGAAGAACTCTGGTCAGATTTGTGCCTGAACAGTTTGTCAGCAACGGTTAATGCCTGGTACAGACTTGTTCATTATAACTTTCTTCATCAGCTGTACCTCACCCCACAGAAGCTACATAAATCCAAACCTGAATTGTCAGAAATGTGTTTCAGATGTGGTATAGAGGTTGGCTCCTTCCTACACTGTACCTGGCTTTGCACAAAGGTAAGGTCCTTTTGGTATGACTTTTGTAATACAATAACTAAGATCACAGGCATTACCTTTCCATTAGATCCTGAGCTATGTTTACTGGGAAACTTCACAACTCTCAACAGGTCTTTAACGAAGCTCCAAATTAAACTTGCAGAACTTGCTTTATGTGGCCAGGAAATGTATCGCAATGACGTGGAAGTCTGATTCCCCCACTCTCATCGACAAATGGTCTGTGGAAATGAACAGTTGTATTCCTCTTGAAAAGATTACATATAGTCTCAGAAAGAGATATCATTTATTTTTGAAAATCTGGCAGCCTTATTTGGAGTACATGGGTACAACACTAACAGTACCACAGGACTAACTATTTAGAGCTCTGATTTACAATATACACTGTGTCACTTTATGCACCAACCTTTTTTGTTGTTTTCTTGTTTCGTTTGGGTGGGGGGAATTACTTATTTACTTAATTTTATTTCCTATTTGTGTTTTTTGTTTGTTTGTTTTTTATGTACCTTTTTGTAATGTTTAATGTACTGTGTTCTGTATGCTCTCTTGCATTCTTAAAATACTTGGAAAAATAAAATATTCCAAAAAAAAAAAAAGCATTCTGGGACAGAGTTATTCAGACTCTGGAGGAGATTCTAGGCTACAAGATTCCTAGGGACCCCCGGATTGTGTACCTGGGAATGATACCTGGCGACATAATTCAAAAAAAGGACTTCTACCTCTTTAAAATCTTGACACTCGCTTGTAAAAAGGCCATCACAAGGAGCTGGTTGAAAAGTGACCCTCCAAGCCCAGGAGAGTGGCTGGACATTGTGGAGGAAATATATTCTATGGAAAAATTGACTCTTTTTCTAAGGATCAAAGTAGGGATCCACGATCAACGCTGGAGAAAATGGACTGTTTACAAAGGAAAAGATGAGTAGTGTTCTCAGGTGACCTGAAAAGAATAGAACAATGTTTGTTAAGAGTGAATGGTGACCCCCCCCTTTTATTTTATTTTATTTTTATTTCCTTTTTTTTTGTCTATTTGTTTGTTTGTTTTTTGTCATTGACGATGTTTGTCGCGTTTTTTGTTCAGTGCAGCAGCAACTGAAAAAAAGAAATAAATAAAAAGTTTAAAAAACAACAACAACGTACCCTCCTAATAGCCATCCTGTACATTAACCTCTGTTCTTAACTTCTTAACGTTGTTTTTCTACCAATTAAGAGTATGAAGGAAAGGCTTCAATCACAAACATACTTGGAAGGCCGTAGCTTGTAATTGATGGGTGCCTGAAAACAGGTGACAGGACTCTATCTTTCTATTTCTGTCTCTTCTCCCTTCCGCTCTCTGTCTGCCTGTGTCCGTTTGAGCCTGAAGCTAAAGCCGGGCTGAGAGCTTTTGGTTTTAATTGAATTGGATAACCTGTGTCACCAGCTTCATCTGTTAAATATCACGCTGTTCTCATTTGGCTTGCTTGTGCTGCCACATTCACTGATAAGGAAGTCCCAGTCAATGTGTCGGCGCCACCAGCCCAACAGATGCACTGCCTTGTTTTTGCTCTAGCACCCAAAAGCCCTAAAATCTCCAAACGTTCCCCTTTCAAACATCTGTACCTGGACCAGCTTTTAGAAAACACAGATAGTGATTACGCACTAATGTTGTAATGACTGATTTGTGAACTGCGCTCTGAAGGAAATCTGAAGTCTGAGCATGTGTGGCGAATTCACAACAGGCTTGTTTTACATGTGTGAATCTACTCGCCAAAGGTTTGGTTTTAAAGAGCTGTATTAATAGTGTAACATTTTACATAGTAACTCTTTATATTAAGGTACACATATTCACCATTAAAAAGTTGCATATAAGAAGCATATTGGCTCTTTATTAGTCGTTATAAGGCACTTATCAATGCCTTATGCTGCATGACTATATTCTACTAGGTGTTGAAGAGTTCTCTCTAACCTCCTAATTACTTCTTCATTATATTAAATAAATAAGTTGTACATAAATTAGGATCATAAAATGATGAAGTATGGGCCTCATAAGGTGGCAGTAGCACAATAATGAACACTTACAGTAATACATATGGTCTACTCTTAAGTAACATATGTTCCCCATCCTAATAGGAGGTCTTGTTCATAACTAATTCACTCGTAGTTTGTCACTTATTAACCCACACAGGTTCTCTTCTAAAGCTGCTTCCTCTTTACACTTAGTAAATCCCTTACAGCACACCACTATTGCTATTAACAGACTTAAGAGATGGAGGGCTATTGAGACGCACAGGTCCTATTGCCATTCAGTGGTAGAAGAACACAGTCAGTACGAGTAGAAGCCTTGAAGAAACTTATGAAGAAAATATTTTGATAGGCAAATCTCTGAAGGGGTCGATAAATAAAGGAGATATTTGTGCTTGTGCTGATTTTGCTCTTTCACCACTGAATGGGAATAGAGACGTGCGCTATAATGGATTTCCGAAGTGTGAAGAGGAGGCAACATCAGAATGGTGAACCTGTGTGGGACTGCGTCTGAGCTAGGTTTACCTTATAAACCGACACAATATCTGGACAAAAGTTTACATTTCATAGTCTTAGTGTATTTTAAAGTAGACATTGAAAAAAAGTAATGTTTTAAGTTATTTAAAAACACAAATTATATTTGAATTATATTCTTTTTGCCATGCTATTATGTCATGTAATGTACCAACATAACACACTTAATTTACGTCACGTTTGTAATGTACTCCGCTCACGTCATGTACGTAGCTTCTTAAAAAACGCAATGTTACTCACGTGTTGAAATCTATCAGAAACCCTGCATGTGCATGATGACGCTAAAGGGTTGCCCAGGGCATTCAAAAGTGATGCCAAGCGGTCCTGACCAAGTGCCATGTGATGGGTAACAACGTGTCGCAATGTCAAAGATCTGAAGCTCATTGTACTTTCTGTGAGTAGCGCCGGTTATATGTCAAATCTAAAGTTATAAATGAACAGTTCCACCGAAACTGTAAAGAAATGTGAGGTGTAGAGAAGATGCTGGCTCGTTTTATTTCCCTCTTGTATTCTTGGTGAATCCAGCCCACTGAATCCTGCTTTGGGAGCATATTACTAAGACTGCCTGGAGGAGCTCAGTGCACGCTCTGCATCATTTATCAGAGCTAAGTTATCTCCGCTGAGGATACTTTCTTCACATTATTAGTGTTCCTGCTTGGACAGATTCATTTCAAACAGCTAGCAAGGGGAACTAAACAGCTTGCAAAATGTAGTTTAGACATTTATTGTTTTACGAATGATGTTCAAGTATCAAGTATTTAACTGATTCTAAAGAGAGAGTGTCTTTGTTTCCTCTACAGGGATGTCAGAGGTCACATACAGCCACAAAAGGCCGGCGTTAATGTCTTACCAAACACAGCAGCCGTATATAATACATATGTGAATATATATGAATTCAATGAAAAGGATTCATAGCAGGGTTAAAAAAAGACTAAATTAGATATCCGTTTTGTAAGTATACTGGTGACAGAGTGAAACATCCATGCAACAGATAACACAGACTCACCTCGTAGTAGCTCTGGACAGCATTGATGAAGGCCTCATCAGCAACGATCTGGGTCTCTCCGTTGAGGAACGCCTGGAAACGCTCTTTGACCGTCTGCAGATGCTGCTTACTGATCTGATGGAGACATAACAGCAGCCAAAGAGGATATAAGATATGAAACTTAAAAACTCAGTGTACCCTGGATAGATTATATTACCTGAACAAGGGACTGAAAAGCTATTACGGTGGTGTTCATTTAGAATGGATTTAGTTTAATTTCCTTTACTTTATTTCTTGACTTTAGACGTCTTAAATATTGATCTTTAAATCCTTTTCATGTCCAATCACCTGAGCATTCAAAGTGCCTCCTTGTTCATCCAACAGGACATGAAACAGTTTGCTAAGGCTCATAGCACACCTCTTAACCAAAAGTACTATCACATTTAACTAAACTCAACTGTGCTGTGCTGTGAGCTCTTATTTTGAAGTTTCTGTTTTGGAACTCCAGTGTCCAAAGAGGTTGTCTGACTATGTGTCTATATTCCAGTGCTCTTCTACAGGTAGTTCCCAGTTACCATCTACATCTCCCCATCGACACAGTTATATTCAACATGTGCAGGCTCTGATGTGCTATGATGGAAGTTACCCAGTGAACCTTATCATAGGTAGAACTCAATCCTCCTTCAACAAAGACATTAGCACTAAAATGAGATTACCAATGAGAGCCTCCGTCCCTGCTTGCAGACTCCACATCCATTGGACTCCACATCTGCAGCCCTGGTAACTGTTACCATGGCCACTGCAGCAGGGGAAGCAGTATGAGATGACAGCTTCCATAATGGGGGTCAAAGGTCACAGTTCAGATTAACTACAGTGGAGCCAGCTGTGTGCAGATGTGTATCCATAATATATCGGTTGTGGATCAGTGTGTTGTCTCACTTGGTTGAAGAACTGAAAGGAGTAACATATCTTTAAAACTCTAGTGAATGGGTCACTGATAGGCGGACCGCGGTCCGGATCCGGACCCAGAAGCCGGTGTCTGTGGACCCTGGACCTACAACTGATAGATAATTGAGAATTATTACATTTTAACGGAGCGCTTCTGTTTTAACTGGCACAGTTTTTCTATCCTTTACGACTTGTTCCGCAGTCCAGGAGACACACCGACCAGTTACATGCGTTGTAAATCACATCACGTGATGCTGCTCAGCCAATCAAATATGTGTATTCTGATAAGTATCGCCCTCGACTCGAGTGAGGTTTACACACACACGACAGAGAGACCCAACAGTCGGAGAGAACCTGAGTCAGAGAAGTTATTTCACATAACGTTCTCCGAAGAGAGAAAAGTGGTCAGAGAGAGTAAAGAGAGACCAGAGAGAGACCAGAGAGAGAGCAGAGAGAGCAGAGAGACCAGAGAGACCAGAGAGAGAGCAGAGAGAGAGCAGAGAGAGAGCAGAGAGAGCCCAGACAGAGAGAGAGCAGAGAGACCAGAGAGAGACCAGAGAGAGAGCAGAGAGACCAGAGAGAGACCAGAGAGAGACCAGAGAGAGCAGAGAGAGAGCAGAGAGACCAGAGAGACCAGAGAGAGACACCAGAGAGACCAGAGAGAGACCAGAGAGAGCCCAGAGAGAGAGCAGAGAGAGACCAGAGAGAGAGAGACCAGAGAGAGCCCAGAGAGAGCMCAGAGAGAGCAGAGAGACCAGAGAGAGACCAGAGAGAGACCAGAGAGAGACCAGAAAGAGACCAGAGAGAGAGCAGAGAGACCAGAGAGAGACCAGAGAGAGACCAGAGAGAGAGCAGAGAGAGACCAGAGAGACACCAGAGAGAGACCAGAGAGACCAGAGAGAGACCAGAGAGGACAGAGAGAGACCAGAGAGACCAGAGAGAGAGCAGAGAGAGACCAGAGAGTCCAGAGAGA